AAGAATGGTAAACAGCGGTCCGTTAGCCTTGATATGAAGCGACTAAGTGCCGTATTCGCCGTTCAGACTCATGACCTGCTTTTTGTTGGTCGGGCTCCCCATCTCGAGCAGAGCTTGAATCTTTTCGGGGTTTATTTCTACGCCCCGCTGATGACCATATATCCCAGGAACTTTCCCGACGATACCCCGGAATGAACATTTGAGAGGTGTCAGCTTCATTCTGTAGAGCTGGAGTATGTCAAACATCTCAGCAAGATGCGTAATATGCTCTGAGGCGACCGGGATTTGACCAGCATGTCGTCCACATAGACCTCTATTGTCTCCCGATCTGGTCGGAGAACATTCGGTTGACTAACCTCTGATAGGTCGCACCTGCATTCTTGAGGGCGAAGGGCATGACTTTGTAACAGTACAGCCCCCGGTCCGTAATGAAGGTCGTATGCTCCTATCTGGTTTATACATCGGGATTTGATTGTACCCCGAATATGCATCCATGAACTTAATAGTCGTGGCCCGAGATGGCATAACGAGCTGGTCGATTCTTGGCAGGGGGAAGCGTCTTTTGGGCAAGCTTTGTTCAGGTCGCTGAAGTGTACGCAGGTCCGCCACTTGCCATTTGGTTCTTACTAGGACCAGGTTAGCAACCCAGGTCGGGTAGAGAGCCTCGCGAACAGATCCATTTTGGAGAAGGTTCTCCACTTCTGATTTTAATGCGGCGTACCGCTCTGGATCCATCGCCTTCTCTTTGGCGAACTGGCTTGGCTTCACTGCTGACGTTCAGTGAATGGCAAATAATGTCCGGGCTGATCCCGACCATATCTGCGTGCGACCAGGCGAACACGTCAATGTTCTCCTTCAAGAGCTCACCAGCTCGGAAGCGAGCTGAGGTTGAGACAGCTTCCGATCTTTAGGACTCGGCTCGGCTCTTTTGGATCAAATGAAACTTCGGACAGATCCTCAACCGGCCGTCGGGGGGATTTCCTGAATTCACGGATCTATATTATCCTCGTGGACTAGGCTGGTGCTCGATCCGGCTGATCGCCATGGCCTGGCGGGGCGCACATCGCGGAATGCCCTTTCCCTTGTCGGCCATTTGGACCGTTTTACATAGCATTCGCGAGATGCGCTTTGCGATCGCTTACTCCCCTATCCCCGAGGAGTGGGGAACTTCATCTTGAGATGATAAATGGAAGTGACTGCCCTGAAAGTTTCAGTAGAGGTCGCCCTAAGATTCCATTGAAGGCCGATAGGCAGTCCACGACCAAGAATCGGGAACCCTAGTCACCTCGTCGTAGTCGCCGGCGTGACTGGGAGCTAGATTGTTCCGTTGAGGATCAGGTGATCCCTGTAAAACCGTACAGAGGGCATCGAGGCTGGCTTCAGGTCGGCCTCGACTAGGTTCATTCTATCGAAAGCGGACTTGAACAGAATGTTCACAGCGCTTCCGTTTTCCACAAGCATTCTGCAGACAATATGACACCCTATCAGGGGCGTGATCACCAGAGCATCCTCATGAGGATGGTGCAAGCGAGCTGCCTCTTTCTCGCAGAAGGTGATTGGTTCCTCTTTTCTGGCTTTTGAGGTCGCTGCGAAGTGTTCATCACTGATCGGGTCATGGTGCGCTCGCGAGCATATCTTTCCTGCTCCTCGCGTGTTTCCCGCGAGGTGCGGACCTCCGAAAATTATGTTAACACATCGTACCCGCTGCGATCACGGTGCTTTTTCTTTCATTCCCCTTGGTTTTCTTTGGGGACATTAATGTACTCCTTGAAGTGCCCCTTCTTGATGAGCTCTTCGATAGCCTGCTTTAGAGCTCGGCACTCATCAGTGAGATGCCCATTATCCCGATGGTAACGGCAGTATTTTTGCTGTTTCTGGCCGTAGCAGGGGTTTTCATGGGTTCGCGCTCAACGAGCAGGCTGGCCTCCTCGGATTTATCAAGGATTGCAGAATGGACACATTCAGCGGAGTGTATTGAGTCCCGTCGCGGTCGCGATGAGGAACAAGAGAGCATAGGACTTTTTCTGCCTAGCGGGGGTTTCTTCCTTTTCGCTGATTGGCAATGTCTCCTTTGCGATCAGCTGCCTATTATCTCCCCACCCAGGCATACTGCGGAAGTGCGTGATCGCGACGGCGGAGTGCCGCCAGTGAATTCTATTCGGAGATACTTTTCTGCCAGGTTGTAGAACCTGGTGAGGGAAATACCGTCCTCAGCTTGCAGTTCCTTCCACAGGTCGGTTTGCGGGCGAACTCCAGCTATTATAAGAGTTTGGATGGACTCTTCTGGAGCATGAGCCACCTTGTTGAGTTCTTGTGGAAGCGATCATGTAAGATTGCAGGGATTCTCTCTTTCTTGCCTTATGTTGCTGAGGGAGCTCAAAGGCATTGAAAATTTCCGTGGCTTGGAAATGCGCAGGAACGTCTGCTCATCTGAGGCCACGAACTGATCGATCCCGCTGGGAGCGACCTTAACCATCGTTTGATGTGAGAAGTCAGCGTCACGGCCAACAACGGCATTTGCAAGGTCGAAACCTGGTGGAGCTCCACAGGGTTGAACTCATATAAATGATCCTGCATCATGGTTTCCATCGAACAGCCGCATATCTGGGATCTTGAACCCTGGTGGAAGTGGGGCAGCTAGCACTTCGGGAGAGAAAGGGGATGCAGAGGCGACTGCGCCTGTTCGTTTTGCTACTCCTTAACTGTCCAGAGCTCGCTGCAGCCTCAATTTGTGTGAACGGAGCCAATTGGGGGTTGCTTTCACCCGTGCGAGCCTGCCTTCGGTTGTCGATTCAGGAAGTTCGGAGGTCGGTTTCTCTCGCCTCGGCGGTATTTCCAGCCGCACTTGACACACGCTGACTAGAGGCGTGTGAAGGCGATGGATTGTGCGGGGTATTTTCAAGACCCTCGCGGTGGTACGAACCGCCCGCGAGGTGTGGGGGCCACCCGCATAACGATCGGGATCGCTCTGTGGTGGTGATAGGAATCACCGCGCCAGCATTTGTTGGGTGTGCCTGCGCGTGGCATGGGACAGCTCGGGATTCACTTTTTCACCGAGTCTCAACTTTGCCGACACCGCTCGGGGCGCTTGTATTCGCTGGCCCTTGGGAGCCGTAGGCTTACTTTTTGCCACTTGCTTACCCTTGCGCTTACGCGCTGCAGTGCTCGCGGCACGGGCTATCGCTCTGCTGCGCTTTCGCGCGACTGCAGACGTCTTTGGCGGTTGTACCGCTCCGGGTCGTAGAGACATGCTCGGTCCAAACGGTCCAACCTCTGGTTGACCGTCTGGAGAGTATTGTCGAACCTTCCAGGTAGCTTCTGATGGCAGGGTCCAGTTGCGGAGCTGCCAGGATATTCCCAGCAGCATTTTGCGAAACTGGAGATACGTTGGAAGGGGTGTCCCTCTGGGCTAGGGGGACCCTTCGGCACGCTGGTTGACCTGCTCAGGCTCAGATTGGCGGGCCATTTGTCGCTGTAAGACCAGTAGGTCAAAGATTCTCCTGATGAAGGGTAGATACTAACAGCCCCTCTTCTAGCGCCAAATTGTTGATGCTGGATTTTGGCACCAACGAATTGTCACGTGCGTAACGTTGATTGGCTAAGAAATACATGTGAAAATGAAATATGTAGTGAAATAAATGCAAGAGAGTTTTTAAAGTGGTTTGGATGCTAAGGTAGCAAGTCCTACGTCCACTGATTTGTATTGATTAGTGTGGTCGGTCGCAAAAGCGGACTGATCAGAAGAGTTGAAAAAGTAAAGTTTTTACAGGAGAGAGAGAGAGAGTTTCTCAAGTGTAAAATGGCCGAATCCCTTAATGAAGGGGTCTTCTTCATTTATATCCAACTGAAGCGTGTAATCATCATTAAATCATGGGTTGGTGTGATTGTAGAATATAATCCGGCTTTATGTCCCATTGTCTCTTCCCAAGCTGACTTCGCACGATTCATTGCAGGGAAATGGACGCGTGTGAGCTCCATATCATTTAACAGGCCTGACGTGTGCGTGTTGCTCTGACGGGAGCAGGTCACCCTTCACGTGACTTCCCACGTCAGCCCTTTATTTTCCCAGGCATAATATAATTGTTCTATTATTTTCAATATTTCATTCACGTTTGTTAGAGGAATTTGTTTACAAGTGTTTGAAAGTGTAATAGCATTAGGAGAAATGAAAAAGTTATAGCGTTAGCATGAGCAGCATATCAGACACAAGTTTGTGGCACAAAAGGCAGAGTTGTGATAGTAGCGATGAGATGATAGAGGAAGAGGAAAGACATTGAAACAGTGAAAAAAGAAAAAAGGAAAAGGAATAACGTATGGGTATTGGAAAGGCATGTGAGTATGGGTGGACGTAGGAAAAATACAGGGAAGCTAATTATGGTCTGGTGATATTAAATATTAAAATGTAACAACACGACAAAACAACAGCAAAGGGTCGTAAATAGTAATGTAGAAAGCCTGCTGACTCCGACTCCCACAAACAAATATATTACTTTTCGTTTTTACACCGCACACCAATCCCATGCAGTTTCCATCCACAGTAACAACATCTATCTATCGTACAAGAAGAAGAAGAGAAGAAGAAGAGAATGAGAAATAGCGCGAGTGATTGTTGTTTGCATCATGAACATACTAAAAACATACAAGAGAGAAACATATCAATGGAAATATGAATTAAAATTTAAAAAAAGAAAAAAAGAAGAAGTTGATATTAAACCTCCAACACTTGGCTTTTTGGATTTTTTTTAATAATCCCCCCACCACTACAAAATAAGCTCAAAAATCTTAGGCGTGACCTGCCTAAGTGGGGTGCATTATCATGGTGATCCCAATTCCCCTCTTTGCCTTTTAGTTTTTATCTTTCTACACAAGTCAACCTCACATTCATCACCCTTTTCACCCAATCACATCATCACCGCCCCCTAAAAATTTCCCAACTAATTAATTGAACCCCTAATCCCTATCCCCCACCCCCACCCCCACCCCCCACAATATATCTCTCTTTTAGTTTATCTACTACTTCCGGCGAGCCACCGTGAACGTTTGAAACACCACACTTCCTGCCGCCGGAAACTCGTCCATTACACAACTCCGGCATTTCCAACCCAGTGGCTCTATTGCACGTGCTACATGTGTCCACACCTCATGGCTACTGCATGTTGTTGACACTGAAAAAGTTGCAGGCTTGAAAACTTGTACCACCTTCTTCAACATCTTCGCGATATCGTCATGATCGTCGTAAATGGACCCCACGCATTCGAAGCTGGCGTAGCTGTAACCGTCCTCCGGGGTGACGTGGATAGTGGAGTAACGATCACCGTCAATGCCGTTCATTGAGTAGCCGCATGGGTCGAACGCGAAATCGCATATAATGGCGCTTGGATTGATGTCGTCGATGCCGGTGAGTTCAGTCATTTCTTTGCCAGCTGTGTCGCCGTTTTTGCCGTCATTTGCTCTCCTGAAGAATTTACGAGCGAGGACACGGTCGAGCTCGGTCATGCATATCTCCATGGTGAATGTAATTTCAGCCGGCATGGTTTGTGCAACGAGATGAGTTTGGTCACTGGCGGTGAAGACATGCCAAGAATGAGAGGGCATTTTGGAGGGCATAACGGAAGCTTTTCTATAACAAAGATTGATGGGGAGATTCTCTTCCAAGTAAATGACTTCTTCTTTGAAGCTGGTGTGAGGAAAAGGTTGAGCTTTGGGGAAGATGAAGCTGCCTCTGGTGTACCTACAGGCGCATAAATTGAGGCCCAAATCCTGAGCATAGTTCATCAATGGACGGATGGATTTGAGGAGCTGAGTTGTCCCACAGGTCTTTATAATGACCTTGGTGGGGTAAACAAAGAGACTCGATTCTGATAACACGTAGGCATCAAAATATTGGTTTCCAACTGCAGAAACCACAGTGCATTGCACAGCATCCAAAACTTCTTGAATAGACTCGAAATCAAGAAGGCGAAGACCCATGTCAATCACTACAGGGTCATCACCAAAGAAATGAAGCTCTAGGCGCTTCTCAAAACCCTCAAACCCAGAAACAGCCATAGAAAAATGAATAACAAAGGCAGAAAGATGATGAGAAACTTGAAAGAATGTAAGTGTTTGTGATATGTCTAAGTGGAAGCTAGCAGTAGTAGTGTTAATGTATGTATGTATGAATGTATGTTTGTGATAGTGAAGTGGCGTGAGAAAGTGGAAGGTGAGAGAGAATGGAAGGTTAAATGGTATTTATAGGTGGCTGATCAGTGAGAGAGAGTGGGGTGTAAGAGAGAGGGAGAGGGGGGCATGCGGGTGAGGCAACCAAGAATCATGATTGCAGGCATAATGAAGTGAATAAGATGATGGTATATGTTACAATTTTTTTTTTCTCACAATTTTCTATTTTTATTTTCTTGTGCGTGAAAGATTGAGATTGGGAGAAATCTCAAAATATATCTTTCATCAGACAGGAACAGGCACGGCAATCCCATTTTATGCCTACGCGCATGCTTCCATTTAATCCTCTCCTCCATCGCTGCCAAACTGTTAATCTTCCAATCACCATTTTTCTGTTTTGACAATATCATGGACTATGCAATTCCTTTTACCAACAGGGTTAATGAGTAATAAAAAAAATTTAGCCAGTTAAACCCAGTCAAATTAAGTGATTAGCCAACAAACTGGGAATTAGTATGGGATCATCAAATCATTGAGCAACTTTTAGGGTTCTTTTTAACAAGAAATTAGGCAAACAGTGTAAAGCAAGTTTAAAACCGGTAATTAAGATGGATTTGGGTCAATTCTAGGGCATGAAAGTTAAATTTTAAACACACAACATAATCATAAACAAAAGACTAAATGTCTGTGGATGCATGACAACAATATATCATCAGCTTGGGTAAGAGAACTGAAAGATTATGATGAAATAGTTAATGAGCAAAAGTGAAAAGAATAGGGAGGATGAAATGAATAGGGACAGATTTGTCGATAGCAAAGACGGCAGGTGTTAATTAAGAAAAGGGTAGACGTGCCCAAATACCATCAAAAAATAATTATGCAAGTTCGCAAAACAGAAAACAAAAAAACAAAAGGAATCAGGCGTGGCAGATAAACAATGAGAATATCCTTGAATTAGGGAGGCCCCTCGTACGTGAAATCAAAAGCATTCTACATCATTTCTATTCTCCATGCAATTTCATGTAGGAGTAGGAGGCAGTATCATCTATTTCTCTCTTTTTTTTTCACAATCACCCCCTTAACCCAACATTATTTACTATTTTACTTAATTCATTTTCAAACACCATCAGCTTCAATACTATACCTACTTTTCATGAGTTTGATGAAAAGTTTATGCTATAATCACATAGTTCTAACCCAAACCCTTTTGTCTTCATGCCTTTATGTTCCATAATTCAATTATACTCGTACAATATACTTATTTATTCCTAGTAATTGAATTAATGTTGAAAGTTGTTTTTAATTCAGAAAAAAAATGAAAGTAGCTCCTAGTAGTCCTGATGATTAAATTAGGAATAAAATTATGGGAGTAATTAGTGGTTGGTTTGCTTTTGGTGCTAGTTTCCTAATTGAATTGAACTACCTTATATTATCATCACGTTTTCCCACTATTGTTGGTTGTTATTTAAGACTTTATATACAAGATTATACTAATAATTCTTCAACATGATCAAATCTAAAGTATCAGTAGAAGATAGGTATAGAAAAGACATATTAATGGTGAGTTTAATTAGAATGAACAAAAAATATAAGAGAAGAGAAGAAATGATTCAGATTGTATGCGTCATGAATAATATTATGGGTGGCTGGCAGCCCCCATTATGACCACATTCCCACCTCTTGTGCTGCACGCGCACCACCCAACCCAACTCAACTCAAAAACATTATCTAATCTTTCACATTCACATAGGCATTTTCACAAACAACTAACCCAAAATTCTCACAAAAATGGTCAACCACTTTCAACTAAATCTTACTTAAAAAGTCTCAAAACAAAATCCCATTTGCCTTTTTACATGAAAAGATGTATCCAAAATCTTAATTCAATGTAACTTTGGGTTAATTTGGAGGGACAAAGAAAAGGATATTCTCATCCTTCTTCCTTCTTCAATCTTCCTCTTCCTCTTTCCAAACTCTAATAATAATAATTAATCATGGAAGCCTAGGCTAAAGCCCCCCATGATTGGCCCCACTAATCAGTTGAATGTGCCCCCGACAACCGCCGTGGCTGGCCCTACGCAACTACACATCATCCAATCTGTGCCCTAACTTCTTAGCACATAAGGCTCCATTCTTGATCTTCTATCAAACATAAAGTCCCCACCAGGTCCTTTATTGGGCGACATTTGCATTTGCCCAAGTGGCTTTAGCCGCCATCCATCCTTGCACGCGCACATTTTTTCCACACATGTGGCATTTTATTTTTGCCTTGTAAATTACTGGAACACTAATGAGCATTCCTGAGTGCTACTGTACCATGCGCACAACATAAATATTGTACAAAATTTTGTACAAAGCCCCACCACTCTTTTCATTTATCTCAAGTAATTTCATCAATATATTACTTTCCTTTATTTGGACAATCTGGATTAGGTGGGTTGTCTCTGTAGGCTTCAAAATCTATCTTGGATTTCAATTAGTCCAATCATCACTCGTGAAAACCAAAACCAAAACTAAATGGACACATGGGTTTGATAGCTATAAGCTCCACTGCTTGATTAACACTTCTCAGCATTGAATTGTTGGGCAAAACCGCAAAAGCATTATCATCAACTGCACACAATACAAATGTTCATGCATCTATTGGTTTGGTTCCTCTATCTTCAAGCTTTTGATTGTTCATAATGGATCTTGTTTTTTTTTTTTTTTTCATATTGTCTGCGAGTGGAAAGACAATGACATCCATTAATTATAATACATCTCCATCTTCAACTTAATTAACATGAAACTTAATATCATTAGCTCCCTAAAACTAGTCATTTTGAATCACAGAGTGACAAATCATGCATTCTAAAAAATGGTCCAAGAGCTAGATGGGTAATTAATAATTTAAGGTGGAGTTGGATGATGATGGGCACCCACAACCACAAGATTGAGAGGGGAAAGAATTTAGAAGGGAAATTAAACAAGACACGTTAGGCAGCTTTTAACTAGGCATAAAAATATAATGTTAAGAGTTGCCCCCACAAAGTCACGAACCCATATATCAAAATGAGTGGGAGTGTGAAGTTTTGCCTCGAGCCCCAGCCAGGCCAGGCAACCACGGCCTAAAATCTATCTCGATTTTGAAGGCATATTGAACAATTAACACGCCACATCATTCCTCGTGCTGACCCAGCTAGCTCTCTCTCTATTTTCTATATTTATTTATATATATAAAAGAAAAAGGAAGAAAAATCAATAAGAATCTACATCTCTCTCGATTGCTCCACGCAATTAAGCATCATTCTACTGTGTGACTTGTGACAATAACAATATTGATCTTCTCTCTCACTCTTGAGTCTTGCCTTCCCTTTACACTTCTATCTACTGTTATTACTATTACTATCACTTTCCCGTACATTTTAAGTTTCTGTACACCAACATTTTCCATCATCACTTTATTAATTTGGTGGAATTGGGGATTAAATAGAAAGAGAAATGATAAAAGAAAATGGAACTTGATTTTATTATGGTTGCCACTTATGGGTAGAGTGTAAATGTTGAAGTAAAAGCCTTTTTATGGAAAAGAAAGGCAAAGGTGAATTGTGTCCGTATAATGTGAAGTGTCGAGAGAGTTATAAAGAGTTGCATGCGGTGGAGCTGACATAAACATGGTGTCATGTCACTCCTATTGTTTGGGTGGTAAACTAAGCCAAGTTGGCAAAATGCTAATTATAAGTATGAGAGAGAGAGAGAGAGAGAGAGAGAGAGAGAGAATTGAAGAAGAAGAAGAAGAAGAAGCTGAGAGTTTCAAGAGATTTTCATTGATAAAAGTAAACACAAAACAATTGATGATACGAAGCTAGGTAGAGGTCTTTTAGAAGGCATCGATGATTAAGAGCAAGTGAGGCATGGATATGCAAACATGGAGGTCATCATGTTCCCTCAGCTCCAAACTCTCTGTCCTGTTCAAAAGTTAGTATTAACTTATTAACAATACTTTCTACATATATCTTTGCACTTGCTGCAGTCTCACTTCTAGTATATATATATATTTATTTATTATAAATAGAGTGGACAAAATCTCTTAGTAGGTGTTGAAAAGCTCCTACAAGTTTCAACACTTTCTCCAGTGAGAAATCAGTGGAAAGTGTTATTAGGCTTTTTTCCCTCCCCCCTCCTCAGTGGACTTATTAAAAACTTCATCTACCACCCATTGCCGACATCTTGGAACTCTTAATACTTGTTTTAATAAGTGTGCTTTGTCAGCAAATTAGATTCTAATACTGTACTACATATTATAACCCACCATTTTTTATACCTTTAATCGAATCCATTTCAGGTGAACCCATATCTTATCTCTCTCTCTCTCTCTCTCTATCACATATTCTTTTCTTTTCTTTCTTTGTTTACCTCTTTACCCACAACAATTACTTAAGTGGAAATTACTGGGTGTGGTTTATTGGTGAGAAGCAAAGACGGGGTTGAGAAAGAGAAACCCACCAGGTGGTTTGATTAGATGCTTTGGAGGAGGAATAATGTAATAGTGTTAGCAGTAGGTAGAAATGAGAGGGAGATTAATTAAAGATGGTGTATCCTACTTTACTTAAAATATAACATAATCATTATAATGTTGATATGTTATGAGTAGATTATATGCATAACGTGACATGAATTATACATTTACATAGGGAACGTCTCAACTTAATTAAAGATCCATTGATTAGATTAGTCTCTGTCGGATTTCAATTTAGAACCTTCTCCCTCCTCTCTTTATTTTTTTACTCTTAGGAGTAAAGAACAAGGATCCTACGACTCATATTATCATCTGGGCTGCTTCAACAAAAACTCAAAACCATCGATGGGCTAGCTGTTTATTTGCCTTCAAGAGTTGTCAATAATTAAATTTTTTACAAATCTTTGACTATAATGGTTGTTAACAAACAAAAGATTTCTAAATACAGTGATGGGATCATTGTAAAGGTAGGTGATTTCAGTTTGAAATTAGCACTAAAAAATGTTGGCTAAAATAGTTGTCAATCAAAATATTTTTGACAATACTAAAATACTTGTATTAATTTTTGTTTTCTAAATTAATGATAAGTTTAAGAGAAAGCGTCCTTTCTCTTCCTCACAACTCTTTGTCCTTGAATAGTATACCAATTAGGTCATACGTTTTAACCATATCATTCTCAAATATGGTTCCAATAAACATATATAAACCGATGTTGAAAGCCTGAACTGATTAAAAAAAAAAAAAACACACGCGCACAAAGGCAGGCACAGGACAGGATGGCCTTATGGAGCAGCACTCCCCTTCAGCTGATGCTAGGCCTCCTGTTCCTCCTCCTCCACCCCATAACCACCACAACAGGTATTCGTGTCAACACAGCTGTTATTCATCGACCTTCGCGCACCTCTTACATGCCTGAATTTCGCGAAGCTCCAGCCTTTCGCAATGGTGATGAATGTGGTTCACAGGATGCTCATCGTATTCACATTGCCATGACCCTTGATGTCAATTATCTTCGTGGTACAATGGCAGCTGTATTCTCAATGCTGCAGAACTCAACCTGCCCTGAAAACTTATCATTTCATTTCCATTTGGCTCATTTCGAACCCCAACTAATTTTCAGCGTCAAATCAACCTTCCCTTACTTGAATTTCAAGATTAATCGTTTCGACTCCAACAGGGTTCGCGGGAAGATATCGAAGTCTATTAGACAAGCTTTGGATCAGCCTCTAAACTATGCAAGAATCTATCTGGCTGATATTATGTAAAAAATGTGAAATGGGTTATTTATTTGGATTCTATTGATGCTTGATTTTGACACCAATGACTCGCACGTACAAAGTGCTAAGCTACTTTTAAAAATTACACGTGAATAATTGTAATAATCGATTGCAAAGATTAAATAATAAATGAGAGATGATTTTTGAAGTGGTTTCGATGCTTAAAACAAATCCTACGTCCACTGTTCTTTTATATATGAGAGATTACAAGAGGTTGCATATAGCGGACAACGAGCAGATATACAATAACTGAGTATTTAAACAAAATATCAAGTCAGTCTCTTTCTCATAGGTTATCTTTGCTTTGAAAGTTAAAGATTACAATTAGAATGTGGGTCCAGTATCAGAATCCCGAAAATGTGAGGGAGAATCATCTATTTATAGTAGAGGAATTCAAAGTAATGATTACAAATCTGCAAGTGGATAGGTGCTGTGCAAATCTTTCTTTGCGTCCCATTGGCTGATAACTTAGGAAATATTCTTAAATTACTTGGGCTTGGACATGTGTGCGGCCCTCACTCACTCCTAGACAAAACCTGAATCTGCCAAGTTGGTGACAACTATATTCTTCCTGTCTTGGGGCAATATGGCAACTCCTGGATGAAGCAAAATCTTCCTGAACACTGATTGGTGCTTATTGATGTAAGCTTACGTTAGCCTTGACTTTTTAGGCATAACAGAAGCTCCCCAGTTTTTAAGGTTCAAGAATTGAATCTTGAGAACTTCATGATTATGTTGCAACCTAACTTGTTACGAGGAGTATTTTCCCGAACTATCAGTTGAGGACAGCCATACTGTTACAAACGATATAAGGCTAATGGCTTAACTCGACTAGCGAACTGAATAAAAGTCGCGACATGGATCCTCAAGAGTTACACAAACGACCTGAGGTGATTGCTCTGAAAGGTTCAACGACCCATGACAGATCTTGCTCAGTGCTATAAGGATGTGTTTTGAACTCTATCTGACTTTCGTGACCTGAAAACACTTAAGACATTTTGTTGTCGAAAGTTGAGAACCATTTCGCTTCGAGTTTGACACGAGGAGAAGAGTGTTTTATTCGAATGACCTCTTCAGATGTTATCTGTTGTGCTTGATAGTTGTTTAGGTCAATAAAATAAGCTTTATCTGACAAACTTGTCTCTGCGTAATAAGTGTCAGCCATGAGCATTAAATACAAGCTATGCTGAAACGACATTCTCTTTTGAAGCATTAAATGCGGATGATGGCACATTTAATGTGGAGGAGATAATCACGCCGACGTTTGGCGATTTTAATGAGGGGAAACGCCGGTTGATCTCCACGAATTGTGACAGTTACTCTTCGCGTAGATTGATGACACGTGATCACGATTAACAGCTGTTAACACGTCCCGCCCAAACGCTGCTTATGAAAGAAACCAAGCATCGTCTCCTATAAAACCCTAAGCCCATTTCAAGTTTTTCACAAAACTTAAACTTTTAGAGAGAAAAACAATGTTTTTACACTCAAGAGATTAGTTCATCCTCTTCCTGGTTGATGTGCACTCGTCGTTACGACAGCACATCCATTCCCAGCAATCAAGAGTTAAAGAAATTCTTCTCTTTTGCTCTTATCATCCCTGTTAAAAAACTTAGTTTTTATAGTAATGGTGGGTGTAAATGTCTGGTAGATTCAGACAGTGAACATCCTCGGGTAGTGTTTAAAAAGAAACACTCTTAAGAGTTGAAACCTAGGGCGTAGATCTTTAGAATATCACCTTTAAGATTTTTTAGGGTTTTGGCAGCTATGGAAGAGAAACCAAGGTTTCTTTTACTCTTCTGAGTTGTCATACGGGGTAATGTAAATGGAGTCTAAGTCACCTCTATATGTCGCACATTTTCAGACTCTAAGAGCGATAGACATCCCTAAGGCGGTGACAACTGGAGAGGAAAGTTCGCAACCATCGAGCACCTCAGTAGGTCCCGAGCAGGTGGGACGAACAATAGTTACAAAGGATGAGATACAAAAAGCGATAGACCAATATGCAATTTGTGTAAACATCTTCCAACACAGGTCACACACTGCTCAAGATCCTCCCGAGGGAATGGCTGCAAATCTCGAAAGCGATCTTCAAATGCAGAGTGAGGATACCCCTCCACCTCTACATCAAGTCAATCCTCGATCATTTTCGGGTCGCGCCATTCCAATTGACGCCAAATGCGTATGTGATAGCGGTCGCTATGTATATCGCGTTTGGCGAACACAGCCTCGGCGGGCCAACAACAATGGAACTCGACTGCGCCTATCACCTAAAGAAGATTAAAGACAAGGGTTCATATTACCTCTCCAAGTGATTAACGATCGAAGGAGGGATATTTGGTTACCCCAGCAACGTCGGGGCTTATGAAACCAAGTATTTCTTCTTCGACTATAATGGAGTTTGTAAATTTAAGGAGTCGAGTAGGCTTTTCTTTTAATTTCCAGACTGCTTATCCTTTATCTTTAACTCTTCCTTAATAAATAAGGCTAATTAATTTTTTGCTTACTTGCAGAAAACAAAACGACCAGATTGTCGATGCTAATAGACTTCAGTTGCATCGAGGCATTTGGTCGATTGCCTGACTAGAGTCGCGACACGAAGCTGCTCATGACTACCACCAATCTTCGAAAGTCCGGGTTTTTTAGTCCTGAGGCGTATTTGGAAGCTTCAGCTTGTAAGTATTTCTCATGCAGAAAAACCTTAAGTCCTTGTTAACAAAAGAAGACTTTCTTTACTGATGCCTTTTCATGCCATGTAGCAACTATGCCACCAAAGGTCCCGAAGACATTGAAGAAACCTGGGGGTTTACATTCCCTAGGATTAACCCGACCAAACCAGATGGAGCGACCTCTAGCGATATCCCAGTGATGGGGATACGATTTAATGCCGAAAGGCAACAACCCTCTAAGCGACACAAGGAAGCTCCCCAGCCTGTGGCTGTTGACATTTTGAAGAAGAAGACCATGGGCCAGAAGACCAAGAAAAGAAAGCAAATACCTACCAAAGAAGAAACTAAACTTGAATCAGAAGGCTTCGGGGTATTGCAAGACAGGCTTCAGCCTTATTAAGTCTTCTCAGCGGGGACGCCTTCAAGGGATGCTCCAGGGACTTCGGCTACTCCCAAGAGTTTGTAAAGGGAAGAAGGACTGACCATGACTACTCAAAGGGAAGCAGACGAGCAATGGGTCGAAGGGCCTCCTACCCCCACTAGGCTAGACCCGTCTGTGTTGGATCTACTAGGGCAACTACCAGACCATTTACGATCGGTGGTTTACACCCTCTTAGAATGTCAACTTGCCACAACCTTTAACAGGTTTGTGGCTTCTCGACCCACTGACTTGGTAACCATTATCCTTAAAATGTAAAGTCAGGTAAAATGACTTGCTCTATTTGAGAACTCTTCCATACAAGTCGACCTCTTAATTTTTTAGGATCTTAAAAAAACTAAATTTTTATTCCTTTTCCATGTAGTCTTTGCTCGCCTTGAATGTGGCTTAACAGAAGATGAAGATCAATTCTGCTGGAAAACTCCACAAATTGATGGAAGAAATTGCAAAACTGAAGCAAGATCTCGCGACTTCAGATGCATAAACAAAGACTTCCCACATTCAGGTGAACGTGTACCTGACAGAAAGGAATTTTGCTCTGCGAGCAGTTGACTTTTAGAAGACCGAGCTTGAGAAGAAAGATAACGATAACAAGGAACTGTAACGGACAGTGGCGAGGCTCACCAAAGAGTTGGGCTAGAGAGAAAAAGAGCTACAAGTGAGCTCAGAGCGCGAAAAAGTAGCAGAAAAGGCTCAAGCTGAGTTATGGGAAAACTCAAAGAGAGAGAAAATGGCGCTACGAGCATATCTTGAGATGGTTCGAGGGTAAGTCACTTTACTGACTGAGCAGATGAAGTGACAAAGCCTTGAGTTGGAGAGCCAGACTGCTCATTGGGCACTAAAAGCTATTTATAACTTACGGCTGAGAAATCTAGACATGGATATCTCTGACCTCCCCGAGGACTATGAAGCCGTTTTTGTTTCAATGGTCGAGGCCGAAGAACAAGAAGAACAAGAGCCTGCCCTAGAGGACGATCAATAGGAAACAGACATCCTTGAAGGTTGAGCAATTGACTTAGAGGTCGGCAATCAGCCAGACGACCAAGAGGTCGTAGCCAAAGATCCCAGAAATGAAGACCAGTGATCGTTCTCTTCTTTGCTTGAATAAAGTCTTTTTTTGCTTATCCTTTTTTGATGCGGCTCCTAGTCGTCCCTTGTACAGATTTATGGAATATATAAAAAAGAATTTTTGACCAATTGTGATAACACTTTTATAACTTAAGCACTTCACAAAACAAATATAGTATATGTGATCATTAAACTTGTAAAATGTTATAAATAACAATATTGTTAAAAACTTGAGATTACGATACAAGTATTTCTTTGAGGAGAATTAGAACAATCTTATTCATGATATTTACAACAATGAGAACTTTACAAGTAAAAAAAAAAAAAAAAAAAAAAAATGATCAAGCTATAAACGAGTTTGGAATTACTGATAATAAGGGCGAAGATGATCAGCATTCCAAGCTCGCAGCACTTTAGAACCATTAAGTCTCTTAAGGTGATACGTTCCAGGTCGTATTACCTTAGCGACATGATATGGACCTTTCCAGTTAGGTCCCAATACCCCCGTACTTGGCTCTCTTGTGCCGAGAATGACTTCTTTCAAAACCAGGTCTCCAACCTAGAAGTCTATTCTCCTGACTTTAGAGTCAAAAAAATCTTTTTACGTGCTGCTGGTAGGAAGCTATCCTTAACCGAGCTTTGTCGCGGTGTTCCTTGATTAAGTCTAGACTTGCACGTAAGAGTGTTTTATTGTAGAATGCTCTCCAAAATGAACCAACTCCTACTTCCATTAGAACCATTGCCTTGCAGCCATATGCTAGCGAGAAGGGTGTTTCTAAAGTAGAGATTCTCGGAGTTGTTCTATATGCCTATATAACTTCTGGAAGATCATTGACCCAATTGCCCTTGGCTGCGCCAAGCTTGGCCTTCAATGTGTGTTTAATAGTCTTATTGATAGCTTCAACCTGACCATTAGTCTACGGTCTTGCTATTGAGGTAAATTTCTTATGAATCCCTAGCACTTCGTAAAACTGTTTGAATTTCTCATTGCCGAACTGCTTCTCATTATCAAAGATGACTGTATGAGGAATTCCATAGCAGCACATTATATTCTTGAAGACAAAGTCTTTGAGCTTCTTTATAGTGATTGTAGCTAAAGGCTCTGCCTCAACCCACTTAGTGAAATAATCCACTACGACCACTGTATACTTGACAGTTGGCACAGGTCCAATGAGATCAATTTCCCACATAGAGAATGATTAAGGACTGGTTATCGTCGTTAATTGGTGAGAAGGAGCTCACGGGATGTTCACGAATCTTTGGCACTTATCACATTTCTTCACAAAGTTGAAGACATTTTCGTGAAGTAACGACCAATAGTATCCCTGACGGATAATTTATTGGCAAGAGATTGTGCAGCAGTGTGATTACCACAAATCCCTTCATGTATCTCTCTCATGATGTAGTCTGCTTCATCATCCATCACACATAGGAGGAGGGGAGTGCTAAACCCTCGCTTATACAACTGATCTCCAATGAGAGTGTAACGATTAGCTCGAGTTCACAAGAGTCTTGCCTCAGTCTTGCTGTTGGAAAAATCTCATCTCGGAGATACTGAATAATCGGAGTCATCCAGAAAATAGATTCGGTTGTAGCTACGACCTACTCAGGTGAGTTGATGCTAGGAACCTCAATGTATCGAACCGGAATACTGTTCGGAGTATCGAAATCCAGCGATGAGACTATCTTTGCCAAAGCATCCGTGATATAGTTATTGACTTACGGGATTTGCTTGATCGTATAATGTTTGAAGGGCTCCAGTGCGGCCTTCGCTTTCTTCAAATAACTGATCATATTCTCTTCTTTGGCTTGATACTCTCCTAAAGTCTGATTGAAAACTAGTTAGGAGTCACTATTAATGTCGATCATATTTGACCCTATTTCTCTTGTCAGTCGCAGACTAGCAAATAGCGCCTTATATTCAGCCTCATTATTTGTAGCTTTGGACCCAAACCTAAGGGTTCCATAAATGCGAGTCCCTTCAGGACTGATGAGTAGAAGGCCAGCTCCGACTCTTCTCCTATTTGAAGACCCATCAACATAGAGGCTTTAGGTTGACAAGTTCCGAACAGTTTCCTGGACAACTTTGTTGGTTGGCTGTTCGGATTCCCGATCTGGCTAATGAGAGAACTCCGAAATAAAATCTTTCTCTTAATTCTTTCCTTATACTCTTCTCATCTCATTTATTTTCTTTTTTTGTTTCTCTTTCACACAGCTCTCTTTTCTACTAACTTTTTGTTGTATGTCACGGCCTCATCTTACCGGAGGCACGGTTGAATGGAGATCACAATGCACCCACCCACTCTTCGTGACTTCTACTCATTCTGTTCCTCTCTTCTTTCTCATATTTTCTCATTCTTTCTCACTTGAATGTCACGGCCTCATCTTACCGGAGGCACGGCCGGGTGGAGTTCACAAAGCACCAACCCACTCTTCGTGACTTCCGGGTGGAGTTCACAAAGCACCAACCCATTCTTCATAACTTCCGGATGGAGTTCACAAAGCATTAACCCATTCTTAGATTTTTCTCATTCTCTTTACTTTTAGAGTAGCTCATTCAAAAAGTTCTCTACTCTTTCTCAAACTACTTCTTAATGCACAATTAATGCATAAGGATGGTTCATGCTTAAAGTTTCTTACTTAATGCACTTATGAAATGCACGAATGCAATATTGCATCAAGATAGTCATTCTACATAGGTCACACTCAAGAAAACATAACTTGAGTTATACACATCGGATTGATACGGTTTTGGTCTCGTTTTAAAGCTTAGAGATAGGGCTACAACTTTTATGTTTTGGTCTAAACCCAGTTCAATCCTTAAGATCCCAAAAATCACTCAAAAAGTCACGGCTGTGATAGGGCAGTTTGGTAACATGTTTTCACTTAGGCATTTCATCAAACATTAGTTGTGCATAAACAAACCCTAATTCAATTATCATTCTATTTATTTCTCAAACCATCCAAAATGAGAGAAAAACTCTCTTGTAGCATCACATACCTACATGGCAAACACACTCCCAAAAATTTTCTCCAATTCTTCCAATTTCAACCCATCATCAAATCATCGCATATACTTCTCATATTCAAATATATCCAACATATGCATATTTAAAAGAAATCTCTACTCACTTGAATTCTTAAATTTTAGCTTGAGTTGGATTTTGAGTGGAATTTACTTACCTTGTGCTTGAGTAGTCTCTCCTAAACTCTCTACTCTTGTTGGATTCCAATCTTCTCTTAACCCTAAGCATAAACTTCATAAGAACTCAACCTTTACACAAATAAATCATAGATAAAGAGCATGAATCCTTACCTTTTAATGCCTAGAATCAAAACCCTATGAAAAACCACTTAAAAGCCCTCAAAATCCTGGGAGGATTGAATGATAATTTGAGAGAAAATGGGGGAGGTGTGTGGCGATGGAATGAAGAAAATAAGGGTTTCAAACCCTTAACACTTTAGTTTATAACCACGCTTTCCCATTATGCCCTTATTCTTTCTTAGAAATTCCATCTATGTCCCTTAGTCAATGACCATAATGCCCTCATTTTTAATACATTCTCTATGAAATTCTATCTCTTTTCACTCCCCACAATTTCAACTAATTTTGAGTGAAAAGACCATTTTACCCATAATGAAAGTTTAAGGGATTTTCTTCACATTTTTCTCAAAATAACTTTAACAAAAATTCAACTAAGGGCCAACCAACCAATATTAACAATATATTAACCCAAATAAAAGTAAAATAATAAACATTCAAGTAATACACCATAACTTAGTTATGTACCTCAAGTGGGGTGTTACAATTCTCCCCCCCTTAAAAGAATTTCGTCCCCGAAATTCACATAAACAACTCCGGGTAACGATTCTGCATGTCTTGCTCTACCTCCCATGTGGCCTCTTCTACCTTGTGATTTCTCCAAAGGACTTTTACTAATGGAATGCTCTTATTCTGGAGCTCTTTAATCCTTCGGTCTAAAATCTGTACTGGACGCTTTTCATACACAAGGTTCTCCTCTAGGTCAACGTCCTCTATTCTCAAGATATGGGAGGGATCACTTACGTACTTCCGTAGCATCGAGACATGGAAAACATCATGTACCTTGTCCATGCTAGGTGGTAGTGCCAATCTGTAGGCCACCTTTCCCACTCGTTGCAATACCTCAAATAGACCTACATATCTCGGTGCTAACTTCCCTTTGCTTTCAAAGCGCATTACTCGCTTGTAGGGGGAAACTTTCAGAAACACTTTATCACCCACTTGGAATTCAACTTCTTTTCTTTTCAAGTCGGCATAACTCTTCTGACGATCTTGGGCTTGCTTCATTCTGTTTTTGATTAACCTTATATCTTCTATCATTTTCTGAGTCACCTCTGGCCCAAGAGCAGTACTCAACTCGTCCTTTTCACCTATCTCATCCCAATGGAGTGGAGACCTACATCGTTTACCATACAAAGCCTCGTAAGGCGCCATCTTAATTGTAGACTGATAACTATTATTGTAGGCAAACTCCACTAAGGGTAACATCTCATGCCAAGATACTTTATAATCCATACAACAGGCCATTAATATATGCTCAAGCACCTTATTCGTTCTCTTTGTTTGGCCATCTGTCTGAGGATGATAGGCAGTGCTGAATGCCAAACGGGTACCCAAATTTCTCTGTAAACTCATCCAAAAAGCTGAAACAAACCTGGAATCTCTATCTAACACTATTGTTTTGGGCACACCATGTAACCTGACTATCTCTTTAATATAAATCTGAGCCAACTGATCCGTAGTGGTGCTCTCCTTTACTGGAAGGAAATACGCTGACTTGGTTAACCTATCCACAATCACCCATATAGCATTATACCCTCGCTGTACTCTGGGGAGACCTGTAATAAAATCCATCGAAATGCTCTCCCATTTCCACTCTGGAATACTAAGTGGCTGAAGCAACCCTAACGGCCGTTGGTGTTCTGCTTTCACCTGCTGACAAACTAGGCACTTAGCTACAAATTTTGCAATATCCTTCTTCATACCTGGCCACCAGTAGCCTTTCTTTACGTCTTGATACATCTTGGTTGCTCTAGGATGACCAGTGTACGGTGTGTCATGAGCCTCTGTAAGTATTCTCTTCCTCAACTTATCATTCTGAGGGATACACAACCGATTCTTGAAATAGAGGATACCATCTATTAAATGGAACTCCGCTACCTTGCCCTCATGTACTTGCTGAACTATTCTCTGACACCACTCATTGGCCACCTGCTTATCTCTGACTTCCTCCAGTAAAGTAGACTGAACCTCTAACCTAGCAATTCTTCCCGGAATCACTTCAATTTGTTCTTTGCACAATTCTTCTATCAACTCTTTCTGCTTAGTGAGCCGGGACAAATAGGCTTTTCGACTCAAGGCATCGGCTACTACATTGGCTTTCCCCGGTTGATACTTGATCTCACACTCATAATCCTTAACCAGCTCTAACCACATTCTCTGTCTCATATTCAGCTCCTTCTGAGTGAAGAAATACTTTAAACTCTTATGATCGGTGTAGATATTACTCTTGGCACCATAAAGGTAATGCCTCCAAATCTTTAATGCGAAGACCACATCTGCCAACTCTAAATCATGCGTAGGGTATCTTGTCTCATACTCTTTCAATTGTCGAGAGGCATATGCTATCACCCTACCTAACTGCATTAATACGGCACCAAGTCCTTGCAGTGAGACATCTGTATAAATGTCATAATCTACACCCTCCTGTGGTAGCACTAACACGGGAGCTGTCGTTAACCTCTTCTTCAACTCCTGGAAGCTCTCCTCACATGCTTCTGACCATACAAAAGGAGTTCTCTGTTTGGTAAGAGTTGTCAACGGTTTAGCCAACTGGGCGAACCCTGCTACAAATCGCCGATAATAACCTGCTAGGCCCAAGAAACTTCTGATCTCTTTTACTGTTTTCGGCCTCTGCCATTTAAGGATTGCCTTCACTTTACTCGGATCCACTGAAATCCCTTCCTTAGACACAGTATGGCCCATAAATATCACTTGATCAAGCCAAAACTCACACTTAGAAAATTTATCATACAGCTTCTTTTCCCTTATCCGTTGCAACACTATTCTCAAATGTTTCTCATGCTCTTCTCTTGACTTAGAATAAATCAGGATATCGTCAATGAAAACCACTATAAACTGATCCAAATAATCGTGAAATATCCGGTTCATCAAGTCCATAAAAACTGCTGGGGCATTAGTCAAGCCAAACGGCATCACTACAAACTCATAATGCCTATACCTTGTACGGAAGACAGTCTTAACTACATCTTGCTCGGCTACTCTTACCTGATGGTACCCTGACCTCAAATCAATTTTAGAAAACACTACGGCTCCTTTCAACTGATCAAACAAATCATCAATACGAGGTAATGGGTACTTATTCTTCACTGTCACTTTATTTAATTCTCTATAATCAATACACATCCATAGTGACCCATCTTTCTTTTTCACAAACAAAATTGGAGCTCCCCAGGGAGAATGACTCGGTCGGATAAAGCCTTTATCCAGAAGCTCTTGGAGTTGCTTCTTTAATTCCTGAAGCTCTGCTAGGGCCATTCGATAAGGGGCTTTAGATATTGGTGCTGTTCTTGGTGCTAGTTCAATACTAAACTCAACCTCCCTTTTTGGAGGCAAACCCGATAACTTTTCCGGAAACACATCTAGAAAATCTCGAACTACTGGCACCCTCTGAATCTCTGGCTTTGAAACATCACCACTCTGCACCAGATGGGCAATATATCCCGAACACCCCTTTCTCAACATCTTTCTAGCCTTCACACTGCTAATCAACATACTCAACTGATGGCCTTCTCCAAAACTAAACTTGTCTCCACTATTGAGATTGAATCTCGCTTTCTTTTTCCGACAATCAATTTCTACTCCATACCTCCCTAGGAAATTCATGCCCAATATCACATCAAAGTCAGGCATATCAAAAACTTTTAGATCAACTGTTAACTCTCTACCTTGGATCACCACAGACTCTCCTGACAATATCTCTTGCGTTAAAACACTAACCCCATCGGGTAACTCTATCTTAACGGGTTGAGTCACTTTAGTAGGTTTCAAGCCTAACCTCTCTATCATCCCATAAGATACAAAAGAATGAGTGGCTCCTGAATCAATTAAGGCATATAAAGGAACAGCGTGAAATAATAACTGACCAGTAACGACTGATGGACTAGCCTCTACTTCACCCTGTGCCACTGTAAACACTCTGGCATTGGTAATATCTCTAGAACTCTATGCTGGTGGTTAAAGAGGAGCTTTACAATCTCTCATCAAGTGCACTGGTTGTCGGCACCTATAACACACCCTCTGGTCCCTCAAACACTCTCCTGGGTGGTTCCTCCCACATTGAGGGCAAAAAGGAAACCCTTCTGTCTTAGGCCGCTTACTCCTCCAATCTCTTCTATTCTGCCTAGACTGAAACTTCTTCTTATTATTCTTCTTATTATTCTTCATTTCTTTACTTTTTACACCTTCAAATTTCTCTCTCTGCGGGGCGAAGGATGGCTCACTTGGTCCTTCTGTCGAGGAACCTACAGGGGAAATTTTATTCTCAAATATTTCTGTCCTCATTGCTCGCCTTAAGGCCTCACTATAAGTTCGAGGGGGATCTGAACTCGTCATTATATCCCGAGCTATCTTCGGCTTCAACCCATGAATAAACTTGTCTCTCCTCAATGCCGGGGTACTAACTATTCCGGGTGCAAATCTAGCAAGGGAGTTAAATTTCACTAAGTACTCTTTCACGGTACTAGACCCTTGCTGCAAACTGGTAAATTCTTGGACCTTCTCATGAACTCGGTCTTCTATCCTGTATTCGGCCTCAAACTCTTGTCTGAATTCTTCCCAAGTCATCATTGCCACATCATGGGTATCTTCTATTAATTCCCACCAAATTCGGGCATCACCCCGAAATAAGAAACTCGCATACCGGATCTTCTCCTAGTCTGTCATGGGAAACAAAGCTGTGGTACATTCTACGGATCTAAACCATTCTTCTGCTACTACCGGGTCCGTAGTACCCTTAAACTTTAAGGGTTGATGCTGACTGGGAAGACCATAAATCGGTTCAACTCTATTCTGTACTGGGGGAGGTACCGGTTGTTCTCTTTCTACATTAGTGGTTGGTGGTGCCTGTACAGGGGTCCCAACTCTCCCTTGGCTTTCTGCCATAACTTGTTGTACAATTCCCCGAATTCTAGCTTCATCCAAGGGAGGGGGCGTAGCTTCTGGTGGGTTAGAAGGTTCTCCCTCATTCATCACACTTTTACCACGCTTTCGGGTACTACGCCTCATCTACAAAACAACCACATTTAATCAATTCGAGAAACACTTATAGTAAGGAAAGAATTAACTCACACAGTCGGCTATCGGACGTCGGGGCGATGAGCATAGTACACTGTCAAATCCCAAAATCTCTGCTCTGATACCAAAAATGTAATAACTGCTTCATACTAGGTTACTTATAGAAATACATAAAGTAAAATGCATTTATATTAGCAAAAGTAAATGGGCCCGAAATTTTCTTTTAATACATATAATCATTCTTTATACAAAGTAAGGTATCATTTGTAAAAGTTATCAAAAACAGTGGATAGTGTAGCTATTGCTCCTCGCTTGCCGACGCCCATCCGACCGCGTCCTCACCTAGATCCTGCAAACACAAAGATAAGCAACGGGGTGAGCACAAAATAATGCTCAGTAAGTAAATCCTCTACTCGTCTATCCCCGTAACTCTTTCTCTTAATTCTTTCCTTATACTCTTCTCATCTCATTTATTTTCTTTTTTTGTTTCTCTTTCACACATCTCTCTTTTCTACTAACTTTTTGTTGTATGTCACGGCCTCATCTTACCGGAGGCACGGCTGAGTGGAGATCACAATGCACCCACCCACTCTTCGTGACTTCTACTCATTCTGTTCCTCTCTTCTTTCTCATATTTTCTCATTCTTTCTCACTTGAATGTCACGGCCTCATCTTACCGGAGGCACGGCTGGGTGGAGTTCACAAAGCACCAACCCACTCTTCGTGACTTCCGGTTGGAGTTCACAAAGCACCAACCCATTCTTAGATTTTCTCATTCTCTTTACTTTTAGAGTAGCCCATTCACAAAGTTCTTTACTCTTTCTCAAACTACTTCTCAATGCACAATTAATGCATAAGGATGGTTCATGCTTAAAGTTTCTTACTTAATGCACTTTTGAAATGCACAAATGCAATATTGCATCAAAACTGCCATTCTGCGCAGGTCACACTCAAGAAGGCATAACTTGAGTTATACATCTCGGATTGCTACGGTTTTGGTCTCGTTTTAAAGCTTAGAGACAGGGCTACAACTTTTATGTTTTGGTCTCAGCCCAGTTCAAACCGTAAGTCGCCCAAAAATTACCTAGAAAGTCACGGCAGTGACAGGGCAGATTTCACTTAGGCATTTCATCAAACAACTCATGTGCATAAACAAACCCTAATTCAATTATCATTCTATTTAGTTCTCAAACCATCCAAAATGAGAGAAAAACTCTCTTATAGCATCACATACCTACATGGCAAACACACTCCACAAAAATTTCTCCAATTCTTCCAATTTCAACCCATCATCAAATCATCACATATACTTCTCATATTCAAATATATCCAACAATAAGCATAATACATCATACATCTCATCTCAATTTCTCAATAATCACAACATATGCATATTTAAAATAAATCTCTACTCACTTGAATTCTTAAATTTTAGCTTGAGTTGGATTTTGAGTGGAATTTACTTACCTTGTGCTTGAGTAGTCTCTCCTAAACTCTCTACTCTTGTTGGATTCCAATCTTCTCTTAACCCTAAGCATAAACTTTATAAGAACTCAATCTTTACACAAATAAATCATAGATAAAGAGTATGAATCCTTACCTTTTGATACCTAGAATCAAAGCCCTATGAAAAACCACTTAAAAGCCCTCAAAATCCTTGGAGGATTGAATGAAAATTTGAGAGAAAATGGGGGAGGAGTGTGGCGGTGGAATGAAGAAAATAAGGGTTTCAAACCCTTAACACTTTAGTTTATAACCACACTTTCCCATTATGCCCTTATTCTTTCTTAGAAATTCCATCTATGTCCCTTAGTCAATGACCATAATGCCCTCATTTTTAATGCATTCTCTATGAAATTCTATCTCTTTTCACTCCACACAATTTCAACTAATTTTGAGTGAAAAGACCATTTTACCCCTAATGAAAGTTTAAGGGATTTTCTTCACATTTTTCTCAAAATAACTTTAACAAAAATTTAACTAAGGGCCAACCAACCAATATTAACAATATATCAACCCAAATAAAAGCAAAACAATAAACATTTAAGCAATACACCATAACTTAGCTACGTACCTCAAGTGGGGTATTACACCGTGTCTCGGCATTCAGTAGGTGCTTGCCTGTATAATATATTGGCCACTGAATTTTGCCTTCTTCCAGAATGAGAGCTACGCTGACCGCATATTGAGAGATGGACAAGTAGATAAATAAGATTTCTTTAGGAAGTGGCTTGGACAGGAGAGGTGGCTTTCCGAGATGTTCTTTTAAACTCTAGAAGGCTTGCCCACATTCTGAAGTCCATTCAAATCTTTTGTTGGCCCTAAGTATATTAAAGAACGACAAACAACAATCTGTTGCTTTTGATATGAAGCAACTGAGAGCCGCTATCCTCCCATTCAAGCTCTGAACTTGCTTTAGATTAGCAGGACTCTTCATATCTAATAGAGCTTGGATCTTTTCGGGGTTGACTTCAATTCCCCAATGGTTAACCATATACCCCAAGAATTTCCCTGAAGATACTCCGAATGAACACTTAAGAGGATTAAATTTCATTCTATATCTCTAGAGTATGCCGAAATCTCAGCGAGATTGACTATGTGATCTGAAGCGACATGAGACTTGATCAGCATATCATCGACATAGACTTCCATTGATTTTCCAATCTGCTCGGAAAACATACGGTTAACTAAACACAAATAAGTTGCCCCAACGTTTTTCAAATCGAAGGGCATGACTTTATAATAGTACAATCCTTGATCTGTAACGAACGAGGTATACTCCTTATCGGGTGCATACATAAGGATCTGATTATACCCCAAGTAGGCATCCATAAAGCTTAACAGTTCGTACTCGGAAGTGGCATCAACGAGCAGATCGATCCTGGGCAAAGGGAAACTGTCCTTCGGACAAGCTTTGTTAAGATAAATGAAATCAACACAAGTTCGCCATTTGTTGTTGGGTTTCCTCACCAAAATAGGATTGGCGACCTAACTCGAGTAATGAGTCTCTTGAATGAACCCGATTGAGATAAGCTTATCCACCTCAACCTTAAGAGTAGTATAACACTTTGGGTCCATGGTTCTTCTTTTTTGGCGAAGTGGCTTGATCTCACTGTCGATGTTGAGCGCATGACATATTACATTCGGACTAATCCCGACCATGTCAGCATGAGTCCATGCAAAAACATCAATATTTTGTCTGAGAAAACTCGTTAGATCTGCAACGAGCTGAGGGCTGAGATTACTTTCGATTCTCAATACACGGGTCGACTCGTTCTAGTCGACTGATACCTCAGATAGAGTCTCAACATACCCACTTTGGGAATACTCCTCTGAACTTGAGGATCTATGTTGTCTTCCATTGGACCTGCCTGTGGTTTGATCCTACTGATCGCCATAGCCTGCTCGGGAACGCTTACTGGCTTCCTTTTCCCTTTGCATGTCATCTGCACTGCTCTTACATAGCAGTCACGAGATTCATGCTGAGACCTCTTGACTTCCCCACACCCTATCGGAGTGGAAAATGTCATCTTTAGATGATAGATAAAGGTGACAACTTTGAAGATCCGAAGTAAAGGTCATCCCAATATGCCATTGAAAGCGGACGAACAGGTCATGACGAGCTTCTCGAGCGTACTTCTATAAAACCCTTCCCTAGTCGGGTATTTTCTAAGTATCCCTTGGCCATTGAGAACCTAGAAAATGCACGCCTAGGAAAGAAGTTTGTTTTAAAACCCTATTTAAAGAATAAACCTGTAATTTTTTTTTTTTTTTAATTTCTAAACTATAATAAATTCATTGTACAAGTCAAATAATATAGTTTCCTTTCTTGGAGTAAATCATGAAATGCATTGTAATAATTACTAGAACATACAGACTTTTACAAACTTTACTAGCAATTTGATTTCCTTTATTAACACAAACATATTTACTCCATTATAGAACATGAACATATTTACTACATTATGAAATATGAACATAATTACTTCACTAAATACTAGCAAAACCATTCAATAGTCATCATTAAAACTAAGTTCTCAAAATCCCATAACAACATCCCTTCATGCTCGTAGCGTCCCCTGGAATCCTCTCCCAGCTTCATGCCTTAATCCTTACCTACCAAACATATAAACCTCATGGGGTGAGCGTTAATTGCTCAGTAAGGGGATATGACTATTCTAACTTTCATGGATTTCTTACACATACAAAACGTTCATAAATTCACAATATATTATTCATTGTCAATGTCATAAATCATAGTCATGATATTCACATTGACTTTCTTATACACATAAGTCATAGTATATTTAAAACATCCTAAAACACTAAACATATATGACTCATGCAACATTCACAAACATGACATGCCTATTTCTTTTATCTAGGTATTTGACATTTCATTTATCTTTACGAACCGATCGTATTCATTTGAACCATTACTTTGTTCTTGATTACCACCTCAAAGGACTCATGGTTTGCCCATTACTCTAATCTTGGTTTCACACCTTAGAAGACTCATGGAATTCATATACCATTACTCTAGTCTTGACCTTACGCCTCAAGAGACTTGCGGAACTCATATACCATTACTCTGATCTTGGCCTTGTGCCTCAAGAGACTCATGGAAACCTTTCCTTAACATTTCGTAAATCCTCCATAAGTCAACTAAACTAGCTATATACGTTATCATTTAGAATGCATTCATAAGGTATAACATTTCCCTTTAACATACATAAACATTACATATGCATTCATCATACATGTCATTTATAGCTAACTTATGGAGATGCTCATTCATAAAGTTCATTCATCTACCATATACCCATGACCACTTTCATAAATCTTTAGTCAATTGAGCGAAATTCCTTGTCATGAATATTTTCTTAATATTTCTCATTTTCTTAATTCGCTCAAAATTTCATGATGTATCAGGAATTTCACTCGTGTCTTTTACCATTCTTATTCATGTTAGGCCATATGATTTATTTAGTGCCTCTTAACCGAATTTCCAAAGAAATTCGGAAATTTTTATTGGAAGGTGGATGCCGTATTCTTTTGCATGCCCATTATTCAATTATCATTCAAGCATTTCCCAAACACAAACCAAGTCATAAAAGTCACATAAAACCCTCCCTTTCCCATCAAACAAGTGCCAACCATCGTCCAACTACAAATCTCTTAAGTGGCAATATCCTCCTCCTTTTCCAACACAAGCTCAACCAACACCAATTCAAACAATACATAAACAAACCAAACTTATAAATCAAATTAACGTAACAAAAATTAAGGTTTACTAACCCTAGGTGTTGATAACGTAGTAAAGGGAGGTTTTCCCTTACCTTGGCAATCAAAACACAACACCACCAAAAAAAAAAAAAAAAAAAAAAACACTCCTCCTTGGCTCCAAATAAACACCTTCACCTATAACAAACATTAACACTCATGAAATTGCTTTAACACATTCAAACTCATCAAGATAGGGTTTTAGGGATTACCTTAACCCTTCAAATTGAATCTCCTTAATGTGTATCTTGATCTCCTTCAAGAAATTGCTTGAAACCCTAAGAAAATTTGAGACGAAAATGCTTGGATTAGTGGCTTTAATGGTGGATTTGAGTGAGCAAGAAGAAGATAATGCATTTGGGGTGTACAAGGCCGACTCCTCTCTCTTAAAACCTTATAGATAATTTATTTTATTAATACTCTATTGTGATTGGTCATTAAAAGTTAGATATAAGGGTCATTTAGCATAAATTTGTCGTATAAGGGCGTTTTGGTCATTTCTACCACAACATGATGATTAGCACTCATTTAATGTCATTTGACTTCTTTTAAACACTTGGTGATTAAGCAATCCCATTAGATAAATGACTAATTTACCCTTAGTGCACTTTTATGGATACTTAATTCATATGGATTTGTGTGAAAAGACCATTATACCCTTGGTTACCGTTTAAGTCATTTAACCCTATCAATCTACTTTATGGCCATTCTACCCTCATTTCTCTTCAATGACATCACCTCTTACACTATATAATGGCCACATCTCGAAATACATGCAAAATGACCATTTTACCCTTCCATTCAAAAAAGAAAATTATCTGTAAGGGTAGAATTTCATACCTTAGGGCAACAGAATAATGACGCCGGGTTTACAACTTCAAGAAATCCCTGCAAGGTGTGGTTCTCCAAATATAGTTCTAACAAGATGGAGGCCCTTGCGACCATGGCGCTTTTTCCCCTGGTCCCCTTGATCCTTCTCCCAAGTGGGAGTTGGACCATCAACATACTCTTTGAAGTGCTCATTTTTAATGAGGTCTTCAATCGCCTGTTTAAGAGCTCAGTATTCATCGGTATGGTGCCCATTATCCCGATGATAAGAGTAATATTTCTTGCTATTTCTTGCTTAAGGGGGATTATTCATGGGCACTAGCTCTCCGAGCAAATTAGCTTCTTTTGATTTATCCATAACGGTTGATATTGATGTATTCAACGGGGTTAAGGGTGGGATAAATAATCCGAAAACCGAACCGAACTGATAACCGAATCGAAAATTAGGTTTTTTTACAAACCGGTTCGGTTTGTGAAATTCAAAAAATCGATTCGGTTTGAAAAAAAATTCAAACCGGTTTTTAAACCGGTTTTACCCTAAATATAAAAGCAAAAAAATTATTATATATAAAATAATAAATATTTGAATTTAGGGACTTCAATGAAACATTGAAGAATTTTAAGGATTAAAGGATAATTTGAAAACCGGTTAACTGGTAACCGAACCGAAAATTCGGTTCGGTTTACATTCGGTTTTTAACCGAAACCGGTCCGATTTTCGGTTTGGATTTTCTCCAAACTGAAAAACCAGTTCGGTTAATCGGATTATCCCACCCCTAAGCGGGGTATATTGATTCTCATCGCGATCGCGACAAAGGACCTGGGCATACGACTTCTTGGGCTCAAATCGCAGCTTCTTTCCCTTTCTTTGATTGTCATTAGCCCATTTGCGATCAGACTTTCTACTACCCTCCCCTGGTTTTCCTCCCTTTGATTGGGAGCGCTAGTCGAAGGACTAGGGTCATGGCGATTCAAGGCAGCCACTGGATTTTCAATTCTGAGATACTTCTCAGTGAGGTTGTAGAAGCGGGTGAGGGAAATATCATCCTTAGACTACAGGTTCTTCCACAGGTTGGTTTGTCGACGAACTCCCGCAATAATAAGAGTCCAAACTGAATCCTCGGGTGTATTAGCCACCTCATTCAACTTCTTGTGGAACCTATAAATACAGGACTGGAAGGACTCATTCCTCACCTGTCGTATGTTACTCAAATAGCTCAACGACATTGAGAACTTTCTATTAGCTTGGAAGTGTCTCAGAAATAACAAACTCATCTGCTATCATGAATTAATAGATCCTAGCAGAAGCCATCTAAACCAGCGCTTGGCGTGGGCAATTAGAGTTACTGTTAAGCAGCGACATTTTGCCAAGTTGGAAACTTGGTGAAGCTCCATGAGGTTGTTAAACTCATAGAGATGATCATGTAGATCAGAATTCCCATCGAATGCTCGCATGTCAGGCATTCTAAATCTTGAGGGGAGAGGAGCAGTCAACATTGTTGGAGAAAAGGGAGATGCCTCAGCGACCTGCCCTCGCTTATTTTGCTGAGCTCTAATATGATTTAAAGCTCGCTATAACTCATCAATCTGAGGAAGCGGAGCTATTTGGAGATCATTTTTCGCAACGCGGGTTCGCCCCTCACGATTGCGGTTGAGGAAAGACCACAGGTCGGATTCTTCCTCACCTAGGCCGGAGCCTCCGGCATACCTTGACACACGCTAGCTAGAGCCATGTGAAGGCACTGAATGGCTAGGGGAGTTAGCCCAACCTATACGGTGGTCAAAACCGACCCATGGATGGTGGGCATTTCCTTTGCAGTAATGGTCGGAACCATCATGCCGACGATAATAGGAATATCCTTACCTTGCACTCTTGTGAGGGTGCCCATGCGATGTGGCGTGGGATGGTTCATGATGCGACTTACCGCCAAGTCGCAAAGCCACAGGTATTCTACCTGCTTCACGACTGGTATTCGCTGGTCCCTTAGAGCCCTTTGACCCATTATTTGCCACTTGCTTTCCCTTATCCTTATGCGCTGTAGTGTGCGCAGCATGGACTTTCGCTCGTTTTCGCACTTTAGTGTGATCTACAAGCGTCTTCGACGGCGGCACCGCTTTGTCGAAATTGGACGGTACGACCTGATTCAAACGATCTAGCCTTTAGTTGATCGTTTGGAGAGTATTGTTAAACCTCTCCAGATAATTCATCATAGCTAGGTTGAGCTATGAGCTTGAGAGAATATCTTCCATGGTACCTTGCGGAATTAGAGGTACTCCAGGAGAAGTATCATCCTGTACCTGGGGGATCTCCTTATTGCTGGTGCTAGCTCACTCGGTTTCAAGACCACAAGCCATTTGTTCGCGAGTAAAACTGATTGATCAGAGATTCTTGATGAAGAACGGATACTAAATCAGGCCTTTCTAGCACCAAACTGTTAATGCTTGATTTTGACATCAACGACTCGCACGTGCAAAATGCTAAGTTGCTCTTAGAAATTACACGTGAATGATTGTGATAATCAGATACAAAAACTAAATAATAAATGAGAGATGGTTTTTAAAGTGGTTTGAATGCTTAAAACGAATCCTACGTCCACTGTTCTTTTATATATGAGAGATTACAAGAGGTCACATATAGCGAACAGCGAGCAGAAGTACAATAACTGAGTATTCAGACAAAATATCAAGTTAGGCTTTTTCTCACAGGTTATCTTTGCTTTGAAAGTTAAAGATTACAATTAGAATGTGGGTTCAGTATCAGAATCCCGAACATGAGATGGAGAGTCTTCTATTTATAGTAGATGAATTTAAAGTAATGATTACAAATCTGCAAGTTGATAGGTGTCGTGCAAGTCCTTCCTTGCGTCCCATTGGCTGATAACTTAGGAAATATCCTCAAATTATCTGGGGCTTGGACAGGTGTGTGGCTCTCATTCACTTATACACAAAACATGAATCTGTCAAGTTGGTGACAACCATATTCTTCCTGTCTTGGGGCGACGTGACAACTTCTGGACGGTGCAAAACCTTCCTGAACCCTGATTGGTGCGTACTGATGTAATCTTACGTTAGCCCAGATTTTTAAGCATAACAGATTCAGACCTAGTTGTGGTGGATGATATTGCTAAACTATGGGAAGTTGATATGCATGATGAAGTGTTGGCTGCACCTGAATATTGTCATGCAAATTTTACTAAATATTTCACCAATGCATTTTGGACAGACCCTGAATTGGCTAAAGTGTTTGAAGGAAGGAACCCTTGTTACTTTAACACAGGAGTCATGGTAAATTGGTAACGGATGCTGATAAAAGGAAAAAAGGAGGATATACACAGAAAGTTGAAGAGTGGATGACTGTGCAGAAGCAAAAGAGGATATATCAATTAGGGTCATTACCACCATTTTTGCTTGTTTTGGCTGGGAACATCAAGGCAGTTGATCATAGATGGAACCAGCACGGTTTAGGCGGTGGCAATGTCGATGGCAAATGCAGGAGCCTGCACCCTGGTCCTATTAGCCTTCTCCATTGGACTGGTAAGGGTAAACCTTGGCTCAGATCAGAAGCTAGAAAGCCATGTGCTATTGATCATCTATGGGCACCTTACGATCTTGACCGTACATCAAGAAGATCCGTAGAAGAGTAAAATTTAGAGGCAATGACAAGACAGAAATACTGAGAGAAGTCTATAAAAGGTTAAAACTTTTAGATTCTGAAGTAAAACTTGATTGACCAAAGTCTTTGGTTCTGCCATTGCTGTCCTCCCTACGGCAATCGGCATCATGAGCATGAAATCTTCCAAGGTTCGCCAATGGCATAGGGGAAGAACAGGGGCAGTTTTAATATTTCTTTTTCCTTTTTTCTTTCCAGTTCTTTAATTGTTTCAACATGTTTATAAGTGAAATTCAAAACTGTAAAAACACAATTAGAGCCATAGGTACCGAAGGGTAGAGCATCTAGATAATAGTAGGGAGACCCAGGTGAAACCCATTACGAGCTTGGTCAATTGCAAAGTATCACATCAAGATTGTGAGAAGAAGTTTGTGAATATATTATTTTCCTTTAGAAAAAACTCAAAATGATTTGCTCTACTTGTCAGCATTAAGTCTCTGTCGTGTTGATTTGCAAACATCCCTTTTAAATCTGTGTTTCTGTTTCTGTCTGTCTCTCTCCTTCAACTTGTTCCTTTTTTCTTTATAATGAAATTTGGGTCAACAGATAAACAAGATCTAATCTAAATCATAGTGTATGTGATCAATCCAATAAGTTTGACATCTAGACATAAGCATGAATAGTGTATTCCACGACGATACACTGGACAATACTTCCATCTTTAGCACGGCATTTCAAGTCACCACTAACCCTGAATTGTGTCAAGCCAAAGGCAGAAATTTTAACAATAAAGATTTCACTTCAAGGCATTGACATCATAGAAATCCTAACAACACAGTTTTCACTCCAAGGCATTGACATAGTAGAAATTCTAACAATATAGTTTTCAGTCCAAGCCATGGCATCAACCAAATAAAATATACTCTTTACATGAACAAAATTTCTGTCTAAAAGGGGGCAAGACAACTGTCTTAGCAATAGTTGAAAAAAATCAATTAATGGGGCACGCCGAAAATGTAAGCAACCATTGTCTCGTGATCTAGATTCGATTGCCTTATATTGTCCTAGCTAATGTTTCCATTCACAACAAAACTGAAAAAAAAAACCCAAATAAACTACACAATGTTCCTGACTTTCAATTTGATCTGCAGCAGCAAAGATTGATAGGTATATAGCCAAACTCAACAGACAACCATGGAAAGGTAGTCACCAGTCTAGCATACATACAATCAGGGAGTAGTTGGCCAACAGAAGCATCCTTCTCATCACAAATGCTCCTTAGTTGCCATCCAGCCCCCTACAATTGTGTTGTAGCAACAGAAGGGCACTTTCCTAGTGTATTCCACAAAATATAATCCCCAGAAGTAACCTGTCACAACCAAGTTGTAATACTAATCACCGTCATTGCAAATTTGACAGAAGCAACTAGAAACTAAATGAAGTACTGTCCAATTGCAGGCTTCACAAAGATTTTTATTAGGGGACTTCACCCAGCTGTGAGCCTCACATGATTGGTGTATAATTACTTCCTACTTAAAAACTAAATCAAGGGGAAAGGTGCCATATATAAATATGTTGAATTCTGTTTTCATCCAAAAATCAAAATCTCACAACATGCTTAGCATTCATTAGAAATATCAAAATATTAACAGACCAGACATGTACTTACAAGTTCATGACAAATAAAAAGGAAGTAGCAAAATACACAATTAAAAGTAGAGAACTATTATTATTGGTGCACATATTCTCTCAATCATATACCGTAATAGTGACCATATTATCCCATGTAGATGGAATCCAAACAAAGACCATATTATCAATTATGACATGTCATAAGAAGGCCATATAATAAATGATCATGTTATTAAAAATAAACATGTTGTTCATAAGACTAACTTTTTAGTAACAACCAATATAATGACCACATTAATAATGGAAGGATATAATGACATGTTATTAATAATTAATAATGATCAGAAATATCCCGAGTCACTTGGCAATCCTACCTGAGTTGAGAACTCTACAGGTGCTTTTACAGTTGGATAAATGCTTACCTGTTTACAGGAAAAAACAAATATATGTTAAGCAGTATAAATACAACAGTTCAATGGTATATTTTTTAGCTCGAGCAACACACATGGACTACATCAGTGACAGTTCAATGAGGGAACGACTCACATACAAGACAAAGACTTACAGATTTAGTATCAATTGACATTCCAGATATTGAAGCCCCAACAATCTTGAAAGAAACCTGTAATCATGAGTCAGAAAATGGCTGTTTCTGAAAATTTCAGTATTTTAGCATATTAAAATATGTATTATACTAATCTTCAAATGTAGATAAAATAGAACCCAAGTGATAACATTCTTCACCAATTAGGTGGTTCACAGTTTATTTTTACTCAACTAAAAGACACAGAGAAAAGCAAATATACTCTAGTAAGATATCTGACAATCCTATTTGTGATTTATACCCAATAAAGCAGTTCTTAAATAGAACCATCTTTAATGATGACTGTCATAATCAAATGCACGTAATGGTCACATAAAATATAAAAGCAAATGTGATCGAATAGAGATGTCATATTCTCCAGCTGACAATTTTAAACAGTTTAATCATAATTTACTAAGAGGACAGTATTAAGCATAAAAATATCAGAGAGAGGAATGGTAGTAAAAGCAAATTTCATATTTTTAAATTCAGACAATTTAGAGTGAAACCTAAAATCCCAATTACTTTAAGTATTGATAGAAGCCTCAACTGATGCATTTGGAGTTAGTGGTAACCAAAGTAGATGGTGAAACAAAATATCAAATTCCCACCAAAAGACTTCTAAAGCACCTTTCTTTATTTATTAAGCACAAAAATGTAATTTTGAACCACATGAAACTGCCCACAGAGAAAAGTAAATAAAAAAAATCTTCCGTGCGGATGTACAGCTTACATAATATAATGTAACAAGCAAGCATAGAATCGCTCAATGCATGAAGAACAAAAAATGCAACAGTTCATAAATGCATTGATATGACAGTATTACATATAGAATTATCAGAGAGAAAGATGGCAATGACACCAAATGTTATATTTTAAAAGAAAAAAATCCACAAATCCTAGCTTCAGACAATTTATAATGAAATCTAAAATCTAATTACTTCAAATATTGATAAAAACCTCAACTGATGCATTTGGCATTGGTGGTAACCTAAGCAGATAGTGAAACCAAATTTCAAATTCTTAGCATAATTCCTCTGAAGCACCTTCTTATTCTATTTATTAGGCCCAAAAAAATGTTATACTGAACCACATTAAACTGCTCAGCGTGAGAACTTAATAAAAATATCTTCCTTATAGAACTAAATGTTACAAATTATAAAGTAACAAGCAAGCAAAGTAGCTCAATGCATTGAACAACAATAAATGCAACAGTTCGTGAACAATATTTAACTTTGCATAAAAAAATTCATAGCTAACTTAGTTATTTCAGATATGCAATAATTTGTTATGTTAGAACACACAGCTTTCATATTATTTCCAGAAGTCATGAAACCAAGAACAAATAAAGAATTAAAAGGCATGGCACATACTTTAGCATAATTGTATGCATGCCAGCAAAATGGCTCCTCTAGATCAACTGAAGGAAGATCCTTGTTCATTTTCTCCATTAAATACTCCTCTATGTTAACCATATTGTTTGCATTCTCTGTCTCAGCATCACTATCTTCATCTACTGTGCTCCCAATCAATGACCTAGACGAAGGTAGCCTTTGGATTTGCCATGATGCAAATTTAACTGTTCCAGGGAAAGTTGCCTCAACACTTTTCCCAGTAAAGCCCCGTCCACTTGTGACAATTTTCCATTCAACAGAGTGCTCAGTGGTTGAAACTGTTCCAATTGATGGAGTCCCATCAAAAGACACAACTCTTCTCCTAGGAAAGGGCATGGTGACATTACAAAACTCCATTGTCAGAGGAGCCTTATAGCCTTCCATTAGATGCAACTTGAACAAAAATGCACCTTCATCTTCAGAGACCATTGACAATTGGTAAAACCCCTTGACAGGAGGTCCAAGGCCACACATTGCCTGATAACGCATTAAAACAAAATTACCCAGTGGCGGTTGAAACATCACAGCCTGCTTATCAACACCTTGCTCTGGAACCTGGGCACAAGGATGAAAAGATAAAACTTCAATGTGAGCAGTGTTCAACCCTGTAAATGGGAATGACACATCGGGTAACCCCTCTAATTCTGCTCGACAGTTTATTTGACCTGAGACAGATAAACTATCAGGAATCTCGTCTCTATCATACATTGCAGCATGAATTGTTTCATGAATTGTGAATAACAATCTCTGTTTTCCTTTGTACAAATATGGTTTCCATAGTGGTTGCTTGAGGTCTTGAGGAGGCAGATCTGATGAAGAAAAGCCATTAACCTTGATTGCAAAAATATTAGAGTAGTTCAGGTCCACAGGTGTACCTAAAGAAAAAGGTAATCAATCATGCACATTAGGTAAAATGCATACTGATCAATAAGCATACAGTTTAGAGAAATATGAGATGAGAACTACCATAATAAAGAGTACTAACCAAAGGGCATTGCGCTGCTTATAAAACTTCGAAGTGCATCCTTATCCAAAGCCCTTGAACCAAGTTTTGGTGCATCTGATGTAACAGTTCCTACCACAGCAGTGCCAGAAGGTGCAGAAGAAGCAACTGGTGCTGCAACAGGTTTTGCTCTAGAGGAGATGCCTGATATTCCAATACTGCCTGTCAGTGAATCCAACAAGCCTCCAACTGATGGTGATGCATTTACTACAACTTCAGGTTCTAACACATCACCAGTAATTACATCACCAATTGCATGTGCCACCATGAATGCCCTGTAACAGAAACCAACAAAGCTGTTCACCAATTATAAACACCCAATTACTCACTTAAGAAAGTAAAATCCAAGTTCTCTCGCCTTGTACAGCCAACTCTACTCGCCCTAGTTTAAGCATGTTAGCACCAAATTATTCCATTGTAAAGATTTTCTTTTTGATGAAGAGTACAAGTTATACAAGCAAACTAAAGCACAATTAGTGCTCCTTATATATAAGAACTTTTATATAAGGAAAGAGCAACAGGGCCTACTCATCCTTTAATCAAAACAATGTTATCAAGACCTTCCAAAATCAAACTCCCAACAGACTTGACCTCACCATTTCCTTTCAAAATTAAATGGCACGGAAAACCAAAATAATATATAGTGTATATTTGCCTAATACTCATATTCCTTAAAAAATTATAGTAAAAGGGCTGATACGACCCCTTTTCTCAACGTACAAAAGGAGAGTGAAGGCAATTCAGCTGATGCGCAAAAAGGGGAGTTAGTATCCACGTGGCAAGAAGCATGCTTGGGTGTGCATTGGGGAAATATATTGTGGGATTTCAATTGTAAAAGCATGTAAAACTTTTGAGTATGAATGGGAGGAACTAGGCCCTCGAAGAGCTAGATATCTTTATTTACTGCACTGGTTTTGCACCCTTTTATATTGTAATTTCCATTTCAATCTTTCAATACAGTATAATCTTTTTGTCTTTATATAATTCATGCTGTTGGAGTTGAGCACTATTGCGTGGAATACTGAATACAGTCAGTGGATTGAGTAGCGTTGAGGATCCAGGTTCTCAAACAATTGGTATCAGAGCAACGTGTGGGGAATGGTGAAAAGAGAATGGAAGGAAGAATGGAGGGAATTGAGAGAGAGATGGGGTAGGTTAAGGAAGATGTTAACATTGTTAAGGAGGACGTCGGCAGCATCAGGAGTACTTGCTGGAGTTGAGGGAATGGATTAAATGAAAGAGGAAGGGATGGTAGTGTGAACCGAGGGAAGGATAAGGTTGAATCATCGGGTACCCAGGGAAGCAACGAGGACCTAAACCGAAATCAATCAAACCAATCAAGATCTAACGAGAATGGGGAGAAGATCGGAAGATGAAAACTGGGAGTTACCGTTTTTTACGGTGAGGACCCCATGGTGGCTATTCGAGCCGATAGATACTTCCAGGTGAATAAGTTGCGGAGGAGGAGAAGTTAGAAGGGCGGCAGTGTGCATGGAAGGACGAGCACTGAAATGGTTCCAATGGGTAGTCTCGTGCGCCATTTTCGGACTGGCGACGTTCAAAAAAGCAGTGTAGACCGATTTAGACATCGTACAAAGGATCGGCATTGAATCTCTGGTAACGCTGAAACAGACACTACCGACTGATTACCGTGAGCAGTTTGAACTGCTGGCTGCTCCCAGCAAGAGGTTGAAGAAGAGCTGCTTATGGGACATTTACAGTGGGCTGAAAGAGAGATCAAGGCTGAGGAGATTGGTGCGGCCCAATAATTTGTTTGAGCTCATGGAACAAGCCCATAGAATTGAAGAGAGGAACTGGGTCTTAGAAAAAAACAAATGGAAAGTGGGCCGTGCCCATGGACTCATAAAGGGACACATATAACCGAATTACACCAGGCCCGAACCTTTAAAATGGTGGGTACCCAATACAATTAAACACCAGAACGTTTCTCATCTTTTCAAACACGCACAGTAAAGGAGGAAAAGTTTTTGAACCAGCACCATCAACCACTCGCGACTCCAGTTTTCAGCGGACTCACGGATGCAAGCTACAGTACAAGAGGGAAAGAGGCCTTTGTTACAAATGTGATGAGAAGTTTGGGCCAGCTCACAGGTGCAAAAATCGCACTCTCAGATCTGTTGGTTGCGGGTGTAGAGGAAGAGCAAAGCGAGCTGAAAAACTAGAGAAACCGAGGACGAAGAAAATAGAAGCAGATCTGGTGCTCTCTCCATGCATTCCATAGGCGGTTGACGTCACCTACCACTCTGAAGCTCGGGGTGAACTGCAGGGATCTGAAGTCATTGTGATGGTAGACAGTGGGCGTCACACAACTTCATCTCCCAAGATCTAGTTCGACAGCTGGGTTTAAGGTGCAGGAACAAAGGCGTTTGGTGTCAGGTTGGAAATGGGTATACCGTGCGGAGTAGGGGTCTGTAAAGGGTTGGAGTTAGCATGCCAGGAATTACGATAGTGCAGGATTTTTTCCCTTTTGATTTGGGAGGGGCTGATGTGGTCCTAGGAATTACAGGTTAAGTACGTTGGTGATGTTTGTGCAAATTGGAAGTGTCTTACCATGCATTGAGGTGGATGGAAAACAGGTGGTACTCAGAGGTGACCCTTCGCTAGTGAAAACAGTGGTGTCATTGAAGGCTATGCTGAATCCTTACACCAAGAGGACCATGGGTTTTGGTGGAATTTTGTCCATTGTGCGGCAAGAGGCCGAGGAAGTCATGGCGTGACCCCGGAATAGCAAACTCTTAACGGAATTCGGACCCCATCTTCGATCAGCCTACAATCTTCCTCACTTCGGCGTCAGGACCATCAATCACCTTGAAGGATGGGGCATCCATACCCATATCAACCTTATCGTTATTCTACACTCAGAAGAATGAGATTGAGCGGTTGGTTGGGGAATGTTGGCAGCCGGCATTATTCAACCTAGTATTAGCCCTTTTTCCAGTCCATGTGTTAGTTCGGAAGAAAGACGGCAGTGGCGTTTCTGTGTGGATTACGGGCTTTGAAGACATCACCATACCCGATAAGTTTCCAATTCCAGCCATGAGAGCTGCTTGATGAATTGGGAAAAGTCGTCATCTTCTCTAAGCTTGATCTCAAATCAGGGTATCATCAGATTCGGGTTCGTGAGGCCGATGTTCCGAAAAACCTTTCGGACACACGAAGGGCACTACGAATTCTTAGTGATGCCCTTCGGGTTGACTAACGCGCCATCAACCTTCCAAGCTCTGATGAATGACATTTTTCGGCCATTTCTCCGCAAGTTGTTGGTATTTTTTGATGACATCTTAATTTACAGTACTAATTTTCTCTTCATCTACTCATTTGCGCCAAGGTCTTTGAACAACTCCAACGACACAAGTTAGTCGCCAAAAAAAAAAAGTGCCCGTTGTCAAGCTAAACTGGAATTTAGGCCACATCATCTAGAATGGAGTCGAGGCTGACCCGACAAAGATTGATGCATGTTGTCATGGCTATTCCAACAACAGTGAAGAGTTTACTGGCTTCTGGGTCTCACTGGATACTACCGAAAGTTTGTTCATTATGGTCAGATTGCCCAACCATTACACAATTACTGAAGAAAGACTCCTTAAGTGGGGCCCTGAGGCACAGCGGCTTTTAGTGTTTACAGCAAGCGATGGTCTCGGTTCCAGTGTTGGCCACCCCAAATTTTGTGAGCCTTTTGAAATACAGACGGACGCTTCAGGCTTCGGTATGGGAGCGGATTGGTGCAACAGGGGCGTCCCATTGCCTTTCTCAGTAAAGCTTTTTCGCCCGCAGCCAAACAGAAATCAGTATAAGAACGGGAGCTCATGGCTATGTGTTGCAGTGCATAAATGGAGCCACATACTGATTGGCAGCAAATTCATCATTAAGACGGACCAACGGAGTTTGCAGTTCTTGACAGGAAAGGCCGATCACTCCGAACAGCATAAATGGATCTCTAAGCTGTGGGGTACAAGTTTGAGATCACTACAATCCTGGCAGTTCTAACAAAGTTGCTGATGCTCTTTCCCGACGTGAATCTCTCTGAACTGCTGTTATCTACCGTTATATTTCTTGGTTATGAAGACTTGGCCACCGAAGCCTTCCAAGACGATAAGCTCAAGCGCATCATACAAGATCTCATGGCCAGCCGACTTCCCTGCTCATACACCTTACACCGTGGCTGCCTCTTATACAAAGGCGATTGGTCTTACCAAAACATCTAAATTCATTCCCACATATTGGAGGAATTCCACAGCACGCCCAGCGGCGGCCACTCGGTTTTTTTCGCACATTAAAAGGTTAGCTGGTGTTATTTTTTGGGAGGACTCAAACAGGACGTCAAAGAGTTGTCAATACATGTGGGGGTGTCAGAGAATAACATCTCTTTGAAACCTACCGGAGTTGTGACAGCCTTACCAATCCCCGGATTTGGAATTCGGACGACCTTCCCATGGATTTCATTGGCGACTCCCTAGAGCTGTGGGTGCGCCACCATCCTGGCGTAGTGGACAGATTGACGAAATCAGTCACTTCATGCTCTGGGTCAAACAGTATACGGCAACTGAAGTAGCGCTCTATTCGTGAGGAAGGTGGTTTCCGCCTTGAATGGGTTTCTAAGTATATTGTTTATGACCCAGGGACCGCATATGCTTGAGTAGTTTGGAAGGAATTATTTCGCTTGGCCGGCATCTACTCCAAATCAGCTCAGCGTACACCCCCAAACGGATGGGGCAAAGGGACACGGTGGTTAATCGCTGTGTCGAGACATATCTTCAATGTTTACATGTCAACAAACCCAAAGCACGTGGCCAAAATGGATTCTTGGCTGAATTGTGGCTTTAAACACGTCCTACCACAGCTCTACAAAATGCGCCTTCAAGCTGTTATGGTAGTCCCCTCCCACTTCTAAAAAGTTTTACTGAGATCAATCTTCGGGGAGGCAGTTACATCAACAACTGAATGATTACCGAAATGCGTTTGTGGATGAGTTGAAAAGCCAATCTCACTGCAGCTCAGGACCGCATGCGAACCCAAGCAAATTCTCACCGCCGAGATGTGTCCCTTGAACCAGGTGATTTTGTTTACCTGAAACTTCAACCTTATAAGTTCCGCTCCTTGGCCCTCAAACTCAATGAAAAGCTCAGCCCTCGCTTTTACGGTCCCTTCCAAATTCTGGAAAAAAATTGGTGCTGTCGCCTATCGCCTAGCCTTACCTGCCACTTCCCAGATTCACCCAGTCTTCCACGTTTCTCAATTGAAGAAGAGTCTCCATAATTCTGTCCCTGTTCAGCCCTTGCCAGATTGCCTTACTGACGAATTGGAGCTGATGGTTCAGCCTGCGTCTGTACAGTCTGTTCGCACCTTGTTGGATGGCTCTAGAGAGGTCTTGATCCACTGGAAGGATTTACCTTCCCATGAGGCCACCTGGGAGTCCTTCGACATTATTGAGCAACAGTTCCCTCACTTCCACCTTGAGGACAAGGTGAGTCTTTTAGGGGGGGGTATTGATACGACCCCTATTTCTCACACGTACAAAAGGAGAGTGAAGGCAATTCAGCTGTTGCGCAAAAAGGGGAGTTAGTTATCCACGTGGCAAGAAGCATGCTTTGGGTGTGACGTTGGGGGAATATATATTGTGGGATTTCAATTGTAAAAGCATGTAAAACTTTTGAGTATGAATTGGGAGGAACTAGCCCCTCGAAGAGCTAGATATCTTTTATTTACTGCACTGGTTTTTTTGCACCTTTTTATATTGTAATTTCCATTTCAATCTTTCAATACAGTATAATCTTCCTTGCTCTTTTATAATATTCATTGCTGTTTGGAGTTGAGCATTATTGCGTGAATACTGAATTACAGTCAGTGGATTGAGTAGCGTTGAGGATCCAGGTTCTCAACAGGGGATTAGTCCTAAAATTACAAATTAAGCTATAATACAAGTACAATCTGGAAATTAAACACATAACATACTTGTATGCGCTTCTCAAGGAGGCTTCAGGATTACTATCCAAACCATAGATAGGGCCAACAGTGTGAATCACATGAGATGCCGGCAATTTAAACCCTCTACATAAATTTTTCAAAATGTCACTGTACAAATTATGAAAAGTAAAGTCGATTAACCCACAGGCTAATTCTTGCCTCCCCTGTAGGACAACACACTCCAGGTTCGACTTCTGGGATTCTAAAACAAGCTTCTCAGAGTTCTGGTCCTGCAGCCCGATGAATGGCTAACAAAATGCATCTTAAAAGTTATTGCAAGTTTGTCTAAATACCATTTACGGCAAGAATTGGATCAAAAGTAAAATTTACTTGGAAGAACCTCCGTCAGTGCCATTGCCTCCAAGCTCCCTCATTGGCTCAATTAACCTACAATGAACAACAAACATTCCATCAGCAGAATCGCGCTTTCAATTCCAAGTTCCAACCACACAATTACAGCATTGCTATATCCACAACCGCTTAATAATTCACGAAAATTCAAACTCCATTTTGCATTAGATCAATACTAAAGTTACTATAAAGAAAACTAAAACTT